TGTTTTCTAATACCCTGTTTTGGAAAGTTGATCTTATACTGTGCTTTGTAAAAGCTCTTGCTCTTCATTGGGGTAGAGGTTTGAATGGCAAAACTTTTAAGTTATCTATATCTAGGATAGGGGTCTGCATCTGTCGGCCGAAACCATCATGGGGTATGGAGATTGGAAAGGAGAGGGAACGAGATGTGGCCATGGAGGAAGATCTTCTCCCACCTCACCCACTCCAAAAGCCTTTAACTGCACTTTTGCCTGGGCCTGCTTTTAACTCTTAAGATAATTCATTTAAAAATCACTTTTAAATTCTGGAAATTTAAAAACTACTTCCCATCTGTAGTTTATGAAGAGGAAGGAATTCCCTGTTTCGTTTGAATATACAATCAGTATATGTAGACCTCTGCTTTTAAATAATATGATTGGCAAACCCAGTCCATCTTCAAACTTAGTGATAATGCCGAGTATTTTAAACTCAGGAGTTTAATGTTTGTGCTATTTAAAATACCACAGTTTTTCCATAATTGTTCATACGACCCTCATTCCCTTGGGACAAGAGTCACTCTAAGATGTGCTTAATTGGTTTTAGATGGTTAGTACTATAATTGTGTATTTTGGGAGAAGTCATCAACATTGTTGCTTCATCAGATTATTAAGAAATGGTGGTTCTTGGTTTTCTCTCTAACACTGTTTAGTACTCCTAGAAGATAGTCATGTTTAGTCAGAACTGACTAATCTGTTTAAGTTAATATTCCCTTGAGGAAAAGCTTTACATTTCACAGTCTGCTTCACAATGTTCTTGAGGCACTTAAATAATTTCAGTCTTTTTGTAGAATACCGCAGAGTTTCTGGGTTGCCCAAACTATTAATGAATTTGGTAACCTCTCATTAACTGTATTGCTTTATTGTTTCCTATATTTGCAGGAAACAAAAATGTTGGATTTAATAGATTTTGATACTAAAATTTGGAAGCTTGTTGCTGAAACAAACACCAAAAAAAGTATGTTACTTTGAACTGTTGTAATTGGCGCTCATCAGTCCAGTATTATATCCTTCTCAGGTCTTCCCATTCATTTAAATGAACAGGATTCTCAGTAACATTTATCAATATATCCTATACTGTTGGATGAAGGAGTCACAGAGTGCTTGAGATTGGAAGTTATTTCTGGATGTCAGTCTGGTCCAAAGTAGGTCCAGTTAGATCAGGTCATGCAGTGCTTAATAAAGTCTTAAATAAAGTATTTAAAATCCTGGATATATGACTGGTATCTCTAAACAAAATGTATAAATCAAGGATAACTAAATTTGGCTTATAGTTTCCTAAAATAAATTGTGGGCCTGGTTGTTGTTTGAATGTTGTCATCAAAACAATAATTATGTCCTGGCTTCTATTCCTCTGTTCCAAGTTTGAACAGCGTTATGGCAGAGTTTGTGTATGGATAGCACTGAGACACACCTAAGATTCTTGGCTTTGGGAAAAAATCTTATGAAACCTCTATAATTTTCGATTTAAGGTGAGCTTTGCTCTTTAAATAGTGATAGCATTAGAAAAGGCAAATACCTGTTGTAGCTGTGGTACCCAGTATCCAGCAGTGACACTCATGGATAAACAGTGTGAGAACAGCATAAGCATGGAGTGCTACTTCCCTGGTAGCAGTCTCAGCAACAGGTTATTGGAAGCTGAATAAATTTTCTGAGCCAGACACGGTATCTTCATATTTAATAACCCACAAATAGATTTAATGCACCTGTTATTAAAATTGTTTCAAGGGTAATACATCTTTTTAATTACTGTATATTAGTCACACAGGCTGTTTTTGATGATCAAATGATCCCTGTTTGGAAAAACAAAAAAATTTAATAACTTTGAATGTTTGCTTAACTATAGAGATCTGATCCCCTCTCAAAGGGGACTGAGAGTGGGGAAGAAGAGCCTGGAACAGACCTTGCCTTAAGAACTTGTTCTTTTTTTAGTTTTTTTTTTTATAGTCACAACCTTCCTCCTATGAAATTCTAAAGCAGATGGTTGTTCCTTTTTCTTATTTTCTTTGCAGGATCTACTTATAGATGTCTTGTAAGAACATGGATATTTAATATTTATGCAATATCTACATGTGCACTGCTACCATTTGCTGTCTACGTAATTTTAGTCTTCCATCTTGCTTAACAAATAGTGTCCAGACTCTTCATTTTTACAGTGTGGTTAATAGAGGTCTTTCCATCAAAAAAAGTACATAATGCTGCTGCTGTTTTTTCTTACTGCTGTGCCCCTTAAATGTCATCAAGTTTACAAAACTGGAGACGTGAACAAGCGAGTTATTCAGTTTTAAAGAAAATAGCTTGGAGCCTCTGTCGTGTTTAACCCCTCTAACTACGCTTAGAAGAAGTTTGAGCTGCTTCAATCCTCTGAGGCTGAGACATGAGCTTTGACAGAAGTAGTGTGGAAATGCCATGCTGTGCTATATTTCTTCATAGCTGAAGCAGCTTCTTTTTTGCTGAGTAGAGAGAATTCTCTTGCACCAACAGATCATTATTAGTGTAGGTCCTGTGGTACAAAACCCTGTATTTGCTCTCTGTATCCTACAGATGCAAAATAAAGGATATTTTTGTCTTTCAACAAATTTACCTGTTGATTGATAGGAATGAAATGTATGTTGCTGAAGAGTATGGTGGGGGGAAGCCAATCTAGAAAAACCCAAACAAACCAAAACCTCCCACTTTTTCCTGGAGGTTCATTAGATGAACGTGATCAAGAGCTATGTACAACTGCAAAACCACAATGATAAACGAGATGTTGTTAAAAAGAAACCACTGACTATTGCCATGCACGGTGGATAAACTGATTTAAAAACTGATCTGGTGTGAAGCTTTGTTTTCACTGTAATTTGATACAGCCTCGTGCATAGTTGCTGTAGTTTATAGATACCTGTGACCCTTTTCCTTGTCTGCTTTTTTGCTATTATTTATGCAATATTTGTTTCTAAATATATGATAAATGTTATTGCAATATCATAGTTACTTAGCTGAGTTCAGCAGTAATACTTTTTGACTTTGTGTAGCCTTAACTATTAATGGAAATTGTAAAAAATCATGTTTATATATTCAGAGAAAAAGAAACCATAGCATTTAAATCTTGATTTTTGTCTATTTTTGTGTTTATTAAGCACTTAAGTAAGTTGCTTTTTTTTTTTTTAAATGTCAGTTTGTAAAAATTACGTTGATAGATGATGACTGTCCAACTGATCAGTTGCAATATACGACTTTGTCCTCCTGCAGTACCGGGGAATCTATGAGCTTCTAAACATCAGCATTCCCTTCTTCATCAGGGACCAGACACTCATTCACCAGGTATTCTGGCCAACAGGTCAGGTATATCTGGCATAGGAGAGTGGTTATTAGAAGCTGTGATAGTAGAAATGCATGAATCACTGCTGGTACAGCAGAAAATTGAGATTAGTGGGATGCTACAGTCTCTCTTTAATTTCACTGTTAAGCCTAACAAATATGTACCTGTGAACACAATAGTGATTACAAAGATCATCAAAGAGCAGAAGTAGAATTATTTTTTTGAGGTCTGTTTTTTCTCTCTCTCTCTCTCTCTCTTTTTTTTTTTTTTTTAAGTTCTTTCTCATTCCTTATCAAATTCCCTCCTGTGCTCTTCCACCTTATCTGCCCACTGCTGGGCTAGGATTGAAAGTCTGAAGTTAGGTAGGGTTCTGACATCTTTACTTCCATATCTTCTAACAATAATCAGAACAAATTTTTATCAGCTGAGGAGTAAATGTGTAAGTCATCTTCACCAACTCGCATGGTGCCACTTTCACTGCTCCTTAAATCTGAAAAATCCTAGCAATGAGATGATTTTAAAACACATTTTTGGTGGTATGAAGCAGTCTGAAATAAGTTGTCTTCCAAATACTGTTGAAGAGAGTCTTACTGGCTTTCCAAGTTTTTCCCTCATCCTGACTTACATACAGTTTCCAAGTTATACAAACTTCTACAGCATCAGATGTGCTGGAAATGCATTAAAATATTCTGCAACATAGAATGGAGCAATGCTGTAACAGGCTGAGGTGACAATTTTGTCAGAAATGGAGTTTCAAATTTGCAACTGGAATATGTTGTGGCTATTTTTAAAATGCTGCATTTTAATGTGAGAGAGAATTCATAAGGATATTTTTATAGGTAATAACTCTGTAATTTCCAATAAGAACAAATCTGAATGCAGCTTGCCAGGTTTGTACTTATACACCTATAAGTTGTATTTTGTTTATTCTGATGTTCTGGACAGCATGGGATATTTAACCGCATAAACCTTACTTAAAAAATACTTCCTTTTCTACCTGAAGATTGTTTGAATTTTGGGGGTAGTCATTTCTGTGATTCCCTGGCACACGAGGACTCTTAAGAAGCTAGATGTATTTTTGTGTGTGTGAGCTAGAGGCAGGCTGTCGAGAAGGTGTAGGTGTGATGGAGGCAACGTGTGCTGCTGAGTAGCCGTTTGCGTGGACTTCAGCAATTCCTGAACACATCAGGGCTGCAGCATGCAGTGTGTGTGCAGCTGTGCAGGTTTATAGGTTTGTGCAGGTCTGATACTTCTGGGAAACATTAGATTTTCTGTGTATGTGCTGTCTGGCTACCTTGTCTGTGCACAGTTAGCTCGATGTATTTGAAAGCAATATGTTCACTATGTATGTACCAAGTGTACAAAGTGTTAGATTTACTGAGCGTGGGCCATGCAGTTTATTCCCATGCATTCCACCTGGGATATCCATTGCGTGCATATAGGAGTCTGAGCTTCAGTTCATGTTCGTTTTCACTTAGATATGGTTTTTATCTTATGTAGGTACTTTAATGACAGTGTCATTCACCAAGAATATTCACTGAATGGAGAACATTTTATGGCACATTGTAAAGCAAGCTAATCACTCTTCAAAACATGTTATAGAGGTTCTGATTTATTTTTGTTGCTCTGTATGCTTGACTCAAAATTTCTTTTCTCTTTTCAGGCAGCTATAAATGGTGTAATACCACAAGAAAACGGCATTCTACAAAGGTAAGCACAGAAAGCTGGAGTAGTACACACGGGGAATGATGCTGGGTAATAGTTACAGTTTTTGTTCCTGAATCCTAAGAAGATGATGTAATTCTCCTTTTAAAGCAGTTTCTGGAGCCACAAATTCTATTCCTGGCAAAGCTGATTTAACATTCAAGTTTTCCCATACTGATGGAGGACCAACTTGAACACCTATTCAAATTGGTTAATTTTTATTTTGAATTCATTGGTTGTTGAGTCATTCTGTGCAGGGTTGTCTCTTTACTAAGACTGGATTTTGGTATGCTTCCTTGGATGTCAGGACTTTCTACTCCCCTTCCCCCCCCAGGATCTAAAAATTTGCAGGGCAGATCCACAGATGTTCCTGGCTAAGTATTTTCTTTTTCCTTATGCATTTTTAAAGGTATTGATAGTCCATGCTTCCCTGTCCCTGGCCAAAAATATTTGTATTTCTGTAGGCTTTTTTGTTGTGGTTTCTTTTCTTTTATTATTTTTAAATTGAATTACAGGCAGCAGATACTGTGTTAGATAAAGTAAGGTTGCTCCCTTCTAAAAGTAGCTTTACTGATTTTCTTTCAGCTTTTGAATTAAATTTTGGCTTGTATACTGATGCCTGGATATCTTGAAGTTACTGAAGCATGAGCTCCTAAGTGCTGATGAGGCAGTTGAAAACAGCAGAACAGGAATTGAGCTACTTGAGAAAGACAGTAAAATAGCATTTAAAATTTTGTTTAGAAAAGTACTCAATGTACTATTTTAGAAAGTTTATTTTAATGATGAAAAATGATACATAATGTAGGTAAAATGGTGTTTTGGCATCTCTGTCAATGCTTACTAAAGCTGTCATTAAGTAGAGTCAGTTTTTGATTCAGGATAAAACCTTATTTGCTCAGTAAAGTTAGATGTTTATTTACTGTAAGGTCTACTTAGTCCATTGAGATCAAGTTTTGATTGTGTTGAGCACTCTTTCTGCCTATGTTAATAAGTCCTGACCCTCAAAGCATTTACATTCAAAATACCAGAATGTTTGGAACCATTTGGTCAGGGGGAAGGAGCTGGGGAGTAGTTATGCCTGACTTGGATAACAAGCTGGTCCAGTGTCCACTTACAGCTTTCTTCCCCACTAATCTATTCATTTTTAGAAATGATTAGACAGTCAAATGTGTCTCAAATATTTTTTTTTTTCTTTTTCTTCCAATGGAAGTGGTTTAAAAGGAGAATCACAAGACGTAGAAGCCTAGTTTCCAGTGGTTTTCAGATGAGGCTTGTTTTACTGATGTGAGGCTTTTTATGTTCCATTAGAGGTTGCCAGTCAGATATGTAGGATGCCTTTTGTGGTGGAATCAAATAGAATTAATACAACTGGACTTGAAGTAAGTTAATTTATTGAAGGGAAAAAAATACATTTTGTTTTATAATTCAGTTATATTGTTTAAAATAAATAAATAAATCCAATCCTGAGAATCAGGATATTCATTGCTTCTTGGGTCTGTTAACAGAATCATTATAGTACTTAATTCATAGTTGGCCATCAGATTTAAGACAATAACATATCACTCTGTATTTATACTTTTTTAAATCCTGAAAATAAGACTGTTTCCTGTACTGTTTAGACCTCTAAAATGGGTCTTTGACCTTTGAGCATGCGTCTTTGAGTGTGGGTCTTTGTAGCTGGGAATTCATCCTTCTAAGCCTGCTGATGTGAGAAGTGAAGGAGCCCCTTGTTTTATGAGCATAATATGTTTTTCTTTTCAAATATGGAAGGCACAATGATGGGATTTGCAATAGCTGTGTATAATTTCTGCACTTCTGTGATATGCATGCCATCCACATTTATGCTTTTTTAAGTTCAAGTCTCCTCTAGGTGACAGATTTGACTTGCTATAAGAAGCATTTCCACTGAGAGATCTCACGGTATCTTCAAGAATGGCAGAATGTATTTTTCAAATAAGTCCTGTTTAAGAATGGAAATGAGACAACTTAATCTCAGCATTTCCTAAATCCTTCTTTGCTCAGCTTGCATCCTTTCAGTGCGTACGTTTTATTAGCTTGCATCCTCCATCATGATATGCTGTAACTGTCCAGCACAGATAATCTTCCTGATAAGAACATCTCCAAGGCAAAGCTCTAGGCTTGCCCTGTGAAGTTGCTTGCCTTCCAGATTTAATTTCTGTACATCATAGTTTTTTTGACCTGGAGTAATCTCCCTTAAATTTCATGTTTTGTTACCTTTGTTTCTAATCCCAGTTACATGCTTCTTATGTATATCTCACTGAGGAAGATGAAGTGCTTCTTGGTAGTGAGGATTTCCCAGTTTATTCTGACCTGTAATGCTAGGTGTATCCTTGAACCAGGTTGGAGGCATCCTTATATGAATGTCCAAGAGGCTCGAAGGGTTTTTGAACTTAAAGGCAAGCTAGAATTCAGCATTGCGTGACTGTTGTACTTCTAGGTATTTTTTGCAATATATACCTCATTATCTTGATTTATTTACCTTAAGTACAAAACCATTTTCATATCTGACTTGTTTTCCACTAATTTGGTATTGGAAAATACCAATACGTGTGCAGTATTTTAAGGTTTATTTCTTAATTTCATTTCCATGTGATACTAGCCCAGTGATGTAGAAAGCTGGTCGTTGCCATGGTGCCAATTTTTATATGGTCACAGCACTCCTGGAACAGGAAATAATCCTTCTTCTCAAGATAATTCTGATATTAATTACATTGTGAACTTTAGACTGCAATAATGGCTTAAATCCTTGTTTGTCATCTAAGTTGTACTCCTATAGCACTTCTGAGTCACTGAAATGTTAATACTGCTGATACGAAAGTTATTTTCTAATTATTAACAAAACAGCATTCTCAGATGTGACAGTGTAGTTTATTCAAGAAGTGTGTGCTGTGGACCACAGTGAGTGAGTAATACTGTTCATTTTGCTTTGCTAACTTTTATTTAAACATATCAAGCTCTTCTGTTTAAACCTTCTTATCTGTATATCTTTCAGTGAGTACGGTGGAGACACTTTACATGGACCAGCGTATGGCCCCACAAGTCATTCTACAGCAGCTTCTTCAACTCCTTCCTCATCCTCAGCGTTTCGCCATGTAGTGCCATCTAGACAAATAGTGGAAAGACAACCTCGAATGCTTGACTTCAGGGTTGAGTACAGAGACAGAAATGTGGATGTAGTACTTGAAGACAGCTCCACAGTTGGTAAGGATTTGTAAAAATGAAATTAAAACCATTGTGGTAAAATTGTTAAAACAAAAACAAACAAAAAAGGCCCAGCCCGAAAAATCCAAATCCTAAAACAAAGCAAAAGAAAACCCCTCAAAGAAGAAAAAAATCCCCCAGAAGTAGCAGGCTCCACAGTTTCTAACCATTTTCAAATCTCTTTGCAGCTTTACAAAAGCAAAATTTCACTAATCTATTGTAACAGTTAGTGATCTATCAAATTTTTTTTGAAATCTAGTTTTTTGATGAACTTGCTTCAGAAACAAAATAGAGATTGCTGATTAAGTTGAGGCAAGAAAATTTAATTTGGGGTAGGATTAGTCTAGATGCAGTTTACTAACAAGCAGATGATCTTGGCATTTCCTTTTTGAATCAGTACGGCATCTCTTTCTGTGTAGGATTAGTGACAAGATTTAGAGGAATTTTAAGAGCATCGTTGCATTCTTTTCAATTTTTGTTTGACTTGTTTTTGCAAATAAAGATTTCTTTTATGATTTTATTATCTTTATCCTAAAACTGATGCATTTTGTAACAGTATGTTAGAAATATGCTATTGTTAGTATTGCAGAGCATGTTATTTTTTCTACTTTCCCCAAACTGTGAGTTGATTTACTTTTGCTAAGGATGAAGAATAGGTGGTTTTGGTTTTGTGGGTTTTGTTTGTTTGGTTGTTTTTTTTAGTGAAAAGTCTATACAGATCAAAATAAGGAACTACATGAAGAAATAGTTGATTAAAACAATTTTCAGTGCTGCAGCATAATGTCTGTGATGAAATTTTGAAATTGAAACTTTTGATCTTTGTCTTCTTAGCATCCGATTTGGTATTGGCTGGTGCCACCTAGTGGTGCTTAGTTTGAATTCCTGATTAGCCTTTCATGTTTTCCAGAGCACTGCACTGAGTGGTATCTGTGCAAAGCAGATCTAAAAGTCTGATCAAATCAGAATTTCGTAGCCGTAGTATTTTATTTTTTCTTTTCTTATTAACTTCCTTCGGGTATAAATGATTAAGCTGTAGGGCAGAAGCAGTCAACGTAGAACTTCTGTCTGTATCTTGGCATATGAAGATTGAGGGCAGCATTGTGTTTCAAGTCCAGAGAGAAGTAAGCAAGGCAAATAGTAGAATTTCAACCGTGGACTTCAGGAAAGAAGATTTTTGGCTTTTTCAGGGATCTGCTTGGCAGGATCCCATGAGAGAGTGCCCTGAGGGCAAAGGTGCCTAAGAGAGCTGGTTGATCTTCAAGGACAACCTCTTCAAAGCACAACAACAGTCCATTCCAACATGCAGAAAGAGGAGCAAGCATGGCAGAAGACCAGCACAGAAGAACAAAGAGTTTCTGACTAAGCTAAATGCAAAAAGAAAGTACACAGAAGGTGGAAGGTAGTGATGGGCTACCCAGGAGGAATACAGAGATGTTGCTAGATATGCAGGTTTGGAGTTAGGAAGACCAAACCTCAGGTGGAGCTGAAGTGACGGAGGGATTAGAAGGGCTTGTCTAAGTACATCAGCATGAAAAGAAAGGCTAAGAAAAATGTGAGCTTACTGTTAAATGGTGATTGCTGAACTTGGTCCCTGGGAAGATTATGGAGAAAATCTTTCTGGAAGCCTTTTCTGAGCACAGGAAAGAAAAGAAGGTGATTTAGGAACAGCCAGCGTGGATTTGCTAAGGGCACATTGCACCTAATCAATGTTACTTGCCATTTATGATTTGATGACTGGGTCTGTGGACAAGGGGAGAATGGTGGATGTCACTTTGACTTTAGTAAGGCCTTTGACATACTCTGCTGTAGTATTCTTAAATTGTTAGGATAAGGACTGGATAAGTGGGCTGATAAGGTAGACAGATAATTGCCTGGACTGCTGGGCTCAAAGTCTGACTGGTGAACAGTTACTAGTTTGGGGATGTCCCTTGGGTTGATCCTGGGGCCAGTGTTGCTTAATGTCTTTATTAAAAACCTACTTGTTAAGGTAAGTGCTCTTGGCAAGTTTGCAAAGAATACCAGATCAGAGAAAGTGGCTGATGTTCTGAAGGGCAAGGCTGCTATTGAGAGGGCCCTGGACAGCCTGGAGAAATGGGCTGACAGGAGCCTCATGAAGTTCAAAGAAAGCAAAGCTGAAGTCCTGCATCTGGGATAGGATAACTTCATGTTATCCCATCTGATAACTGGCTGAGGGCTGACAGGCTAGAAAGCAACTTTATAAAAAAAGGGATCTAGGGGTGCATCAGAAGTGCACCCTTGCAGTGAAGAAGGCCAGCCACATCCTAGGCTGTGTTAGCAAGAGTGTAGCCAATGGATCCAGGAAAAAAATTATTCCCCTCTCATCAGCACTTGTGGGACTGCATCTGGAGCACTACATCCAATTTTGAGGTCCCCAGTACAAGGAAGATGTTGACATTCTGCAGTGAGTCGAGCAGAGGCCAGCAAGATAGTCAGGGGACTGGAGCACATGGGAACATAGGAGGAGAGGTGCAGAGAACGGGATTTATTCAGCCTGGGGGAGAGAAGGGGAGAGGTAGAGACCTTACTTCTGTCTACAATTACCTGCTAGGAGGACAGAGAGAAGATGAAGCCAGATTCTTCTTGGAGGTGCATGATAATAAGATGAGAGGCAATGGATGCAATTTGCAACACTGAAAATTCCTGTTAGATGAAAGGATTTTTTTTTTTTTTTTTTAAGTTGTGAGAGTGGTGAAGTACTGGAACAGGTTGGCCGGAGAAGTTGTCAAACTTCCATCCTTAGAGGTGTTCAAATCCTTGACTAAACTGGTTTAATTAGACCTTTGAGCTGGGCTTGGGTTAGGTGAGCTCCTGAGGTCCCTTCCAGCCTGAATTATTTTATGACTGTAATAACTACAGGGAGAGGAGAGCATCGAAATGTGCAAAACATTGAAAAAGCTGTCAGAGCAGTTAAATTGTATGAACACTCCAGTTCTTTAGGTTAGGACTATTGATAATGGAATTAGGTATCAAAAATACGCACCTTCTTTATTGCTGGCAAAGTCCATTGCTCCAGATAGCATGCATCTGCAAATGTGTGTGTCTAGCATACGCAGTGTAGAACTGTTCAAATATATGTCCAAATCGTGAAATCCTCATGTGACTCTCCAAACGTTCACGCTTTCTGTGATTTTTTTTTTTTTTTTGAGCTTCATTTGTCCTTTACTGTTTGAAGTGTATGTTACAAGGGTAACTAGACTAAGAATGGTTTTCATAGCAAATTTTTCCTTGCTCTTGTTTTTTAAGTATAACTCAGTACTGTTTGAAATAAAGCAGTAAGTGTGTATATTTAATATATTTTCTTTGTTTTCTCTTTAGGAGATATCAAACATATTCTAGAAAATGAACTTCAAATTCCTGCATCTAAAATGCTGTTAAAAGGGTGGAAGACTGGAGATGTAGATGATAGTGTAAGTTTTCAACTGTGTTTTCAGTTAACTGAGTTCAGAGTTTCAAACTGAGCATCTGTGGGTGGGGATTACAATGCAAGAATTGTGAGTTTCAAACAGTGTTAGATGTCTCGAGTGGCATACAAGGAACTCTTAAACTAAAACGTTGCAAAAAAAATCAGGACAAATCACTTTAGTTTGTGTTGGTTTTATATATAACACGGCCACCTACAAAAAGGATCTTGGGAAGTTAACCGTAAGTATATCTCAAAGCAAAATATTTGGTGGTATTGTAAATAAGTATCAATAATTAAAAGAAATTAAATAATGTGTCAGAATTGGTGAATGTTTTATATTTATAATGATTTTTCTCCCCTCAGACTGTTTTAAAAACTCTACACTTGCCAAAAAATAATAGTCTTTATGTTCTAACACCTGACCTGCCTCCTCCTTCTTCAAGTCATTCTGGGTAAGTCTTTTGGCCATAAATGCTACTTGTATGATTTGGTCTTGTATGGTTTTTATGAAGCCACATGTATCCTTGCAGGAGTCTGCAATCGGTAAATAGAAAGCATTTTCACCGCTCTAGTAAGCGTTGGGATGAACTACCTACCTCAGCACTTCGTTGTTGAAAAGAAGGTTGTTAAGTTTTTTAGAACCTCGGTGTGGTACGTGAACCACTTACGTACATGCAGAATTTTACACCTCCCAGATGCGATGACTTTTAACAAAAATCTAGTCCCTGTGGAAATGAGAGCGGGCCCTCCGTAGGTTCCTGCATTAACACACGTGCAGAATTTTACACCTCCCAGATGCGATGACTTTTACAAAAATCCAGTCCCTGTGGAAATGAGGGCTGGCCCTCCATAGGTTCCTGCATTATGTTGGTTCATTTAATGTATAAATCATGTAGGAGCCTTGTGTAAATCATTGCCAGCAGATCAGGATTTTCCTTCTGGAACGTTTGTTAGGTTATTTTGTCTTATCTTCTTGGGACTTTTAAAACGCAGGTAGATGGGCCGAGCAGTTGGTTTCCCCTCACGGAGCGGGCTATCTGTTATTGCCGATTGGCACGCTTCCAAAGTTAACGGTGAGCGTTGGCATGTCCGTGATTACCGCTGAGGTCTGCAAACGAGACGTGACTCGGCCGAGGCGGGAATCGTTGCCCTGACGAAGCAAGCGG